CACCACATCGATTGCACAACGTAGGTTGCACCAAATAGATTGCACAACATACATTGCATCACCTATGATACACCACGTTGTCTGCACAACATAGATGACACATTACATATACAGCACTTAGTAATGCGTTCCACATTTGCTGCACAGCAAACATTGTTCCGCTGTTCAAACATCGCATAGCTTGCCTAGCATATATCGCACATCGTAGAATGCACAACCTCTGTTGCACAACATAGTGCACCACGTATATTGCGGCAAACAGGTTCCTCCATCTAGATTGTACCACATATATTCATCAACGCAGATAGCACCACATTGATTACTAGAAACACACTGTTTGGGGTCCACGCTGGCTGACATCTCCTGGAATACCTTCCCAACGGCACGCATATGACACCACCAGCGGGATACGGCAGTGGATGCCCATCAGGCATGCCGGCCGCAAGTGCACGCCCAGATCATCCAATGGTATACATGGCAGAAGGCTCCGCCATTTAGAGGCACTTGCTATGTCGTGGCGAATTCGTACATTCCTGCCCTGTCTGTTGGGGCCGGGGGGGGGGCTCTACTGCCTCGCCGACACCCACCCATACTAGAGCGATGAGAAGGCCCTCGAACATTGCATGGCCTTCTCCATCACCGGCAATGTTCACCACCGCCCTTCACACCGGCGAGCGCGAGTCTGGCCCTCTCTAGCTCTGATCACAAACTGCGCCTCCTTGCGGCGCGAGGGTCAATGGGCATTCGTTCTTGGTTGCAAGCCCCTATGCACTCCGTGCCTCCCATGGTTCTGCGGGGGCGCGCAAACATGGATTAGCGATCCACGGAGTGGGCGCGAGGTCGCCTAATCCATGGATCGGGGGAGGTGCCCTCCCCCAAATGCGGCTGGTGGCGTCTCGTTCGGCGGCGGCAATCCGCTATTCCCCATGGAAACGAAACCCGTCGCTAATCCACGCCCCCTTGTTCCATGCTTGCGATCGCCAGACTTCTCAGGTCAGCGCTGGACCCCCCCTCCCCACACCACAGGCGGAGGCGCCACGCACCCACGCACATTTTACTTCTGCCACCTCCCTCACAGAAGAGACCCCCACGCACACATACATTCGAGCACACGCAAGCACACACAGACACACAGACATACACACAAACACAAACACGCGCACGCGCGCACACACTCCGATCAAAGCATAGAAATGCTCCTTCGCCTTCAGCTCTTGCTCAATCCATTGCTTCCGCCTTTCGGCGTGTCCATGGAGGCGTTCCGCAGTGGCCTGGCCATCGAATCAAGCTGAAAAGTCATGTTCTCATACGTGCGGTGTCGCCATGTCGTAATATGTGAAGGGCCAAACCCCCTGGCCTCGCTGAGAAATCCACCCCTCAGCCTAGGAGAGAGCGTGATCCACCGCCGCTTTACTGTGGAAAATTGCCAACCTTTTCCTCCGGAAAACTTTTCCTCCGGAGCACGGGGCGAGGGGTCTTCCTCCCTACCCCCCCTCCCGAATTTCCCCCCCTCCCCCTTCTGCTGGACCCCCCTCCCCCTTCCCTCCCGGCAAAACCCCCCCTCCCCTAAACCCCTCCCCCCCCCCCCCCTCCCCTCGAAAACCGGGGGGGGGTACTACCAAGTTCGAACCTCCCCCCCCCTCCGGATCCGGAAAACCGGGGGGGGGTCACTTCCGGTTGGAACCCCCCCCCCAAAAAACCGGAGGGGGGTCACTACCGGTTCGACCCCCCCCACCCCACGCACCGCCAGCAAACGACTCCCGGTCCCTACCACCGCTCGCATCACATCCCCCACTGTTGTTCCCAGCACCACTGTCCTCACCACCACTGTCCCCACTGGTTCCACCACCGTCCCTTTGTCCCCACCAGTGCCCCCACCACTGTCGCACTGTCCCCACTGTTCCCACCACTGTTCCCACCACGGTTCCACTCTCCCCACTGTCTCCATGGACCCAACCACTGCCTATCCCCACTGTCCCCACTGTCCCACTGACTCCTCCGCTGTCCCACTGAGCTGTCCCACTGTTCCCACCACTGTCCCCACTGTCCCCACCACTGTCCCCACTGTACCTCTGTCCCATTGTCCCACCGCCGTCCTCGCCACCGCCTTCACCACTGTCCCCACCACCATTGTACCCTCCACTGTCCCACTGTTTCCACCTCATTCCCACTGTCCCCACACCACTGTCCCCACCACCACCGTCCCCACCACTGTCCACTGTCCCCCCTGTTCCCACCATTGTCCCCACCACTGTCCCCACCACTACCGTCCCCACCACTGTCCCACTGTCCCACTGTTCCCACCACTGTCCCGCTGTCCCCTCACCACTGTCCCCACCAACACCGTCCCCACCACTGTCCGCACCCCCACTCGGTTTTCGAGGGGGGGGGGGTTCGAACCGGTAGTCCGGTAGTGACCCCCCCCCCTTTTCATGATGAACTGGGGGGGGGGGGGGAGGGGTTCGAACGGTAGTGACCCCCCCGGTTTCGGAGGGGGGGGGGGGGGGGAGGGGTTCGAACCGGTAGTGACCCCCCCCGGTTTTCCGCCAGCAGCGGTAGAACACGCTCTTTCCAGCCTAGAAAAACAGCTGGCAGAACGACAACAAACAATACAAACACCGGACAGCTCGCCCCTTGGCCCCCCGCCAGCCCCACGCCAAGGGTCGAGCATATATACGGGCGCAGCACCGCGCTGGATGCGACGCATTTCGGCTGGGCCAGGCAGGGGAATATACTGACTTAAAACTGCCAGCGAAATATCCTCCGCACCCCCTGGCCTAAAACTGCAATCGAAATACCCTCACACCCCTCGCTTCAAACATCTAGCGAAATATTATCACACGCCCCTCGCTTAAACTGCCAGCGAAATATCCTCAAACCCCTGACTTGAAAATGCCAGCGAAATATCCTCACCCTCCTGGCCTGAAACTGCCAGCGACGTATCCTCAGCCCGCTGACTTAAAACTGCCAACAAAATATCCTAAGACCCCTCGCTTTAAACTGCCAGCGAAATATCCCCACACCCCACGCTTAAAACTGCCAGCGAAATATCCTCACCCCGAAAAACAAAACTGCCATCGAACGGCCTTGATAATTGAATTCAATTATGTCAGTGTCCTTCCCGAAGAATTCAATTATGTCAATGTCCTTCCCGAAGTTACGGGCTGCGCCCGTACATGAGACTCACCATGATCAAGTGTATGTTTTCCATCGCAGGCAGGTCGTATGATTCACAAGAGTTCCAGGAACGACGGTGGCTCACAAATGCTGGAAGGATAAACAACAATGAAATCACAGTGGAGTCCACGAAAATGGCAATCTCCAGCGAACAGACATGCCCTCGAATTCAGGAGCTAGCGAGGCGTGCGACAGATCTGAGTTCAGACTGTCATCCTAAAACGAAGTATAAAAGTACGGTGGGAGGATGGGCGCGAACACAAAGTTGACTCATCAACGCTCAAATTTCTGTATGTGTGTAAATGTGTGTTTCTACTGGTTCACATGCTTCACACGTGACTTTGTATATACATATCCACATATACACCTATATAAATGTAAATGCATGTGAATGTGACATACATATATATATATACATACATGCAGTGTGAGAAAGGTGGCAACAACAACGAGAACGAGGACGAGACAGACAAGTAGAGAGCGAAACAGAGTGGGATCCTGGCAACGAGCATGTTGAGTTGCAGGGGGCGTCCGTGACACGCAACTGTGCCGCTCCTCTTCTCCTCCTCCCCGTTCTCCTCTTCTCACCATTTCCCACATCCGACCTCGTCTCCCCCAAACTCCTGTCTCCGAACCCTCCTCCTCGCTCCTTCCCACCTCCCTCTTATCATTCTCCTCCTCACCACAAAGCGAAAAAAGGACCTTCTCTCCCGACCAGTCCCAACTATCCACCACACCATGGTCGGAGCAGCTCCGAGGCCACCGGCTACCTGGAGCTGCCCGAGGTCATCCGAAGCTACCTGAGGCTACGTGGACGACGAACAGTGCAACAAACGTTCGGGTCACAGGGTCCACGGCCACCCCAGAGGTCTCCGAAGAGCTTGGAGATCCTCTGCTTACGGGGGCTGGACGAGACCAACAATGCCCGAAAACCTCGGTCGTCGATCGGGCGGTGGCACACGGGGGGCGATACATGGCACATGGCGTGCGGGGGGAAAGCGTACACCTTTCATACCCCTGTTAAGCCCCTTTGGAGCACAAGAGGTGCCCCTTTCTCCACCTCAGCCCTTAGCTGCCCCCATACGCAGCACGCAACACGTTGGTTGTGGACACGGGGCTCAGCACGTATATTGGAAACGCAAGTCTGGCGCGGAACGTGGACCAACACGTGCCGAGCCAACGCGCAACGCGTTAACGGAAACGTCGATTTCGGGATCAATCGATTATGCAGTCGATACTCTACTCGAAAAGTGGGCGGATCCGTGCACCTAAGCATTGATCGCCCCCCCTGACGCAACGCCCCACGCGAAACACGCGTCCTCCTCCCGGGCGCGCGCGTTTGCGTGGCACGTGCTGGCCCACGCTCTGGCAAACGCATCGCGCCACGCCTGCGTTCTCAATCTGCGTGCTGATCCCCGTGCGTGTCGCGCGCTGCGTATCGGGGCAGCTGGGCCCCCATTCTTTGCCGCCCTTCCCACGATCGCGGTGCCGAAGGTGCCCCTGGCCCAAGGTACCCCCAGCTTCGAAGCCCATTTAGGAGCCCCTGGGGCTCTCTGGGCCTCGAGGAGGGGCTCTCTGAATGCCGCCGGGGTCTCCTTGGACATCCTGGGGGCACCGTGGGCCAGGGGCGCTTCTAGCATCAGGTCGGGCATGTCCTCCCACAGGCGGGCTCTAGAGGAAAAATTGTAATACTCCGAACATATTCAAAACAAATAAGAATAGAAGACAAATCGTCGCCACATTGTTTGTCGACTATTTTTGAATTTCCTCTGGAAGAGTGACGTGCACCCTTGCCACCGTGGTTCGCCACGGCCGCCAACCGCGCTCTGGCCCTGCGCGCCTGGCCGCTGCTGCCCCCCCCGGTTGCTCCTCGTCGAACTCTTCGACGTCTGAGCGTCCCTTCTTCCTCTCGGCCGTCCCTGCCCCCCTGTTTTGGCTCGCCGGCCAACTCTCAGGAGGGAAAAAAACACACAGACACAATGAATCCTCGATTCCCCAGAAGATATGGGAAAATATGCGAAGTTGGGGGGAAGACAGAAACCCAGAAAATATGGGAAAATATGGGGAGTCTTTTTATTTGTGTATTTATTTGTGTGTCCTGGGGCCCCTTCAAACTCGCTGGTTCGTGCCCCTCTCTGGCCTCTCGCCGGAGCGGAGCTCGCCGCCTCGCCGCCGGCGGGAAAAAAGCCATTCTGGCCACGCCTGACGCGACGCAGCGCCCGCCTCGCAAAAAAAAAATGCGCCCCTCCTCCCCGGGCGCGCGCCTCCTGCGCGCGCAGCGACGGCGTCGAGGAGGACTTCGGGATCCTCCTGCTCCGGCTCTCCTCGGGGCGGGCGCGCCTGCGCGACCGCGAGGCCGCTCCCAAAACGGCGGGGGGGGGGCGTCGAGTGATCGGGGATCCGTCGACCCGTGCAGTCAACCCGTGTCACACGGACGCACGGTAAGGATGCAAGGGCCTCGGGGGGCCATGCCGACACTCTGCGAGCGGGGCGTGGCCAGCGAAAGCGGGCAAGGAGGGGCCGAAGGGAAAGGACGCAAGGGCACCCCTGGAAAGGTTGCCCGTCTGTGCGATGCGGGTGGACTGTATCCCAGGCTCGGTGGGGTCTGCGAACGGACCAGAAATTTGGAGCCCAGCTCTGGGAGATAGGATGGGGCGGGTGCCCAGCCTCGATAATTGGGGGTGCGTCCGAAGAGCCCCTAGGGAGGACACTCCTGGGAGGTCTTCGCTGGAACGATCGTCAGGGCGATGAAGCCCAATTTGAGGTCCACTGCACCGGACTGGGCCAAATGAAACCCGGGATTGAGCCCAGGAGTAAGCCCAGAATTAATCCGGGGCCCCGGGGGCGCCAAATTCGCAGGATAAGTCCGGGGATTAAGACTGGAATTAAGCGGGATCAAGCCGGAGTAAGCCAAATTCGCCCAGATTAAATTGGGCACTGACTGCGGAAATACCAGCGCCGATGAAGAATTGACCCTCCCATGAGTTACATCCTAGGGAAAGAGTAGGGCAAATTCGTGTCGCGTTGGCTTCAGAATTGATTTCTGACACCACCAAGATCGGTCAACATTGAACGATCGGCCGTTCCTGGAACGTCAGATCGTTCAACATCGACCGATTCTGGGTCGCCAGCGGCATTCAACGCTGAACGACCTCGGTGAGGTGGTCACTAGTGAACACGACGCGAGAGGGCAAAGGTCGCGAGACGGGAAAGTCTCTCCAAACGGCCCCTGGAAAAAGGAGGTATGAGTATCCGGCTGGGTTCGTTCGCTAACCCCACCTTGGGACCCCGCCGCCTAGGGCTTTCACCAGCCCTCTTCCGTTGTTCGGGGGCCAGTGTGAGCTAGGATGTGCAGGAGAGGGGGGGCGTGCGGGAACAAACTCCCGCCATTGGCGAAAAACAACAATCAAACGGAGAAACCCACGCCCATGCGTTCAGAGCCTCTGCGTCCCCCGATCTCAATGCTGCAAGCGGGTGTCTGAGGGTTTGAGTTAAGGGGGTTGACTGTGCCGATACTTGCACTAATGCCGCGGCCGCGAAGGCAACATTGAAATGTGAGGCCTAGAGGTGGCCCCGTCGCAGCAACATCTTCAGATGGTTTTTTTTGTCAACGGCGCTCTCGTCGGTGGGAGGGGCGATGTGCACATGATTCAACGTGCCAGAACTGAAAGCAGTTCCACGCAAGACTTGAGAGGTCGCATGATGAGCTCAATCTATCGAGCTCCACGCGAAGAGAAGAAGAAACCCAGCATCCACCCAGCTGCGGTCGCGAGGAAAAATCAAGGAACGTGGGCACACACACGCACACACACAGACACACACACACACCCATGACATCCACGGACACGGGTATGAGTCGGAGGTTGCTCCCCAGTTTCACCGTCTGGAGGCCTTCTCTGGGCCCCAGAGCTGTCGGACAAGAGGAGGAGGAGGAGGAGGAGGAGGAGGAGGAGGAGGAGGAGGCGGAGGAGGAGGAGGCGGAGGAGGAGCGGGCGGGAAAGGCTGGCCTGCAGAGAGGGTGTCGAGAGCTCCAGGGGAGAGCGGGCGCCTCGAGAGAGTCGAGGCGAAGGTCTGGCGATGCAGCCAAGGGGGGGGACTGCCCTGCCTGAGGGGCCGATGTTCCACCACAACTGCCATGGGTGGGAGAGGGGGGCGGAGGAGGAGGGAGAGGAGGAGGAGGAGGAGGAGGAGGAGGAGGAGGAGAAGGAGGAGGAAGAGGAGGAGGAGGAGGAGGGGGAGGAGGAGGAGGAGGAGGGGGCGGAGGAGGAGGGAGAGGAGGAGGAGGAGGAGGAGGAGGACCTCCCCATCCTCCATCCTCCCCCGTACTGCCTCTGGTAGCGGTGGTGGAACATCGGCCCATCAGCCTTGTCTTTATTCCCAGTAACAATCGTTACCCCGAGGCGGGGGGCCAAGCCCCCCTCCCCTACGTACGATCGTTACCGTTATCCGTGGGGGGGAAGTGTGGCCCTGGTGGCGGCCGTAACGCGCTAGAGGATAGATAATCCATCTCGGTGCAACACTGGTGCTTCTATATCTCTTGGCTCCTCCACCTTGTTGACCTGCTCCCGGTCGTGGGTCGCCTGCGCGCTCGGCCGTGGCGCGGGAGGAAAACGACACCGACCCTGGGAACAACGGGACAGGAAGACACTGCGGAAAGGTGCCGAAAACGTAATTACGGGGGATAGGGGGAGATTCAGGAGCACCTGGAGGAAGGGGACGGTGAGATCCGCCCCTTGTTCTCTCCGAGGGGGATGACGCGCCAAGGCGCCCCAAGAGGCGTCCAAGAGGCCTCCCAAGAGCGCCACGCGAGACCAACATCATTGATCTTCCGAAGGTTTTTGAAGGTTTTGGCGTTCTCGCCTTTTCGCCTTCCCGATGCTCCCAGACGGCCCTAGAGGCCCCCAAGATCGCCCCAAGACAGACCAAGAGGCCTCCAAGAGTGCCCCAAAACTGCCCAAGAGGGCCCCAAGACGCCCCAAGAGGCGCCCAAAGCGGCCCAAGGGACCTCAAAAACGATTCCAAGGGGGGCCCAGATGAGGGACCCGACCGGAAATTTCGAGCCCTCGGCCCCGAGGGTGCCTCAGGAGGCCCCGAGATACCTCCAAGAGGCCCGCGGGAGGCCCCAAGAGGCCCCCAAGAGGCCTGACGAGAGCCCGGGCCCCAAGAGGCTCCTAAGAGGCTCTAGCAGTGCCCCGAAGAGGCCCCGGAGAGCGCTCCGAAGAGACCCCAAGAAGCATCCCTGAGAACTCTGACCCACAATCCAGGCACGGTGGCGGGATGGGTCGAACGCCACTGGGTCCGCCGCCCCCTGTTGAGTCATCACAGGGGTGCCCAGCATGCTGGATTTCTTACGATTTGGTTTTGGTTCTTTTTCCAAAAGAACTCCCCCTGGGGCTCCGGCGCGTCCCGCCGGCCACCCGGAAGGATGCCGAAAGATCTTCCAGAGGTGGTTGCAAAGGGTTTTTCCGTTCCAGACGGCTCCAAGATGGCCCAAGATGGCCTCCAAGACAGCCAAGATGGCCTCCAAGACGGCCCAGGATGCACCCAAGACGGCCTAAGATAGCCTCAAGATGGCCCAAAACGGCCCAAGAGGCTCCCAAGAGGCCTCCAAGACGGCCCAAGAGGCCTCCAAGAGGTCCTCCAGGAAGGCCCGAAGAGGCCAAAATCATTGAATTCCCAATGGTTTTTGCAGGATTTGGGCATTTGCGCATTTTCGGCCTTCCGACGGCCCAAGACGGCCCAAGAGGCCCCAAAGGTCGCCGCAAGATCGCCCAAGAGGCCTCCAAGATGGCCTCAGGACTGCCCAAGAGGCCCCTCAAGACGGCCCAAGAGGCCTCCAAGACGCCCAAAATGGCCTCCAAGACGGCCAAGATGGTCTCCAAGATGCCTCCAAGACAGCCAAGATGGCCTCCAAGACGGCTAAGATGGCCCCAAGATGCCTCCAAGACGGCCCAAGATGCATCCAAGACGGCCTTAGATGGGCTCAAGAGGCCCCCAAGAGGCCTCCAAGAAGGGCCAAAAGAGACGAAGAGGCCCAAATCATTGACTTTCCGTTGGTTTTTGAAGGATTTGGGCATTTGCGCATTTTCGGCCTTCCGACCGCCAAAGACAGCCCAAGAGGCCCCCAAGGTCGCCCCAAGATCGCCCAAGAGGCCTCCAAGATGGCCCCGTGACGGCCCAAGAGGCCCGCCCCAAGAGGGCCCCAAGACGGCCCAAGAGGCCTCCAAGACGCCCTCGATGGCCTCGAAGACGGCCAAGATTGCCCAAGATGGCCTCCAAGATGCCTCCAAGAAGGCCAAGATGGCCTCCAAGACGCCTACGATGGCCCCAAGATGCCTCTAAGACGGCCCAGTATGCACCCAAGACGGCCTTAGATGGCCTCAAGCTGGCCCAAGAAGGCCCAAGAGGCCCCGAAGAGGCCTCGAAGACGGCCCAAGAGGCCTCCAAGAGGTCATCCAGGAAGGCCCGAAGAGGCCAACATTGTTGAATTTCCGTTGGTGTTTGAAGGATTGTGGCATTTGCGCATTTTCGGCCTTCCAAAGGCCCAAGAAGGCCCAAGAGGCCCCCAAGGTCGCCCGAAGATCGCCCAAGAGGCCTCCGAGATGGCCCCGTGACGGCCCAAGAGGCCCCCAAGAGGGCCCCAAGAAGGCCCCAAGAGGCCTCCAAGACGCTGAAGATGGTCTCCAAGACGGCCCAGAAGCGCCCCGAGAGGGCCCCAAGTCGGTTCAGAGAGGCCCCTAAGCCGGTTTCCGACGGTGTTAGACGGGTCAGGGACGCCCTAAGACTACCAAAGAGGCTCCCAAGAAGCCCCCAAAGACCCCCAAGAGGCCCCCAAGAGGAGCCTCGATGGCCTCGTCTTCGGATTTTCAAAAACGGTCGCTTCGCTAGGGGCATCCTTAAAACAATGAGTGTTACATAACATTGGTTCGAAGATCATGTCTAAAAGCTCTCGAATGACATCCAAGACACTCCGAGAAACCATAATCTTGAAACACTTTGGTATTTGTTCACACGTTTGTTCGAAAATAAATGTTTCGCTCGAGACATCCGGCCAAAGTCGCCTGTGGGAACCCTCTCCCCAGAGAGCCAAGGAGGCCCCCATGAGGATTCCAAGAAACACACTCCTCCTACTCTTCCTCGTCCGTTTCCGCTTCCGCTTCCTCTTCGTGTTCACTCTCCACTTCGTGTTCCCTTTCAGCTTCCCAAACCGACTCGGGGAACACGTGGTCCGAGAGCCTGGCGAAGCTCTATCCCAACTTTCGGCCACGTAGGCGTCTCCTCGACAGAAACCTAAGGATGGCTCGCGAAACGATCTGTCCGCAGACAGCCCGCGCGGACAGATTGCCCCTGCTCGGAGAATCGGTGTGCTGGGCCTGCCCGTGATCGGCCTTGCTCATTGGAAGTGTTCCGTGAGCGACCTGTCCGCAGACAGCTCACGCGGACAGATCTCCCACTGAATACTTCCAATGAGCAAGGCCACGCTTGCCCATACTACCCAAGAGTGCCCCAGGATGCGCCTAAGAGGCTTCCTCCTCCTCCTCCTCCTCCTCCTCCTCCTTTTTCATCGTCCTCCCCCTCCTCCTCCTCTTGCTCCCCCACGCATTCCCCGAAGCCTTTCCAGACCGACTCCGGGAACACATGATCCGATAGCTAGGCCAAGCTCTAGCCCAGCTGTCGGCTCTGTCCTCTCCCACGTGTTCCCCGAAGGTTTTCCAAACCAACTCGGCGAACACATGCCCCGATAGCTTCGCCAAGCTCTGGCCCAGCTGTCGGCCACAGAGGCGCTTCCAAAGGGACAGGGGGCGGCGGTGATTTGCCGTAGGCGTCTTAGATCCGCCGCCCCCTGTTGCTTGCAAGAGGGGTGCCTGGCGTACCAAATCCTATCGTTTTTGGTTTTGGTTCTTTTCCAAAAGAACTCCCCCTGGGGCTCCGGCGCGTCCCGCTGGCCACTCGGAAAGGACCTCAATCCGGAAGAAAATCCTCCAAGACAGCTCAAGATGGCCTCCAAGATGGCCACGTTGGCCCAAGATGGCCTCAGGATGGTCCAAGACGACCTCCAAGACGGCCCAAGAGAGTCCAAGATACCTCCAAGTTCGCCGAAGAAGCCTCCAAAACGGCCCAACACGACCCAAGAGGTCTCCAAGAGGTCCTCCAGGAGGGCCCGGAGAGGCCCAAATCATTGGTTGTCCTAAGGTTCTTGAAAGATTTTGGCATTTGCTTCTTCTCGGCACTCCGACGGCTCAATACGGCCCAAGAGGCCCCCAAGATCGAGAGGTCTCCAAGATGGCCCCATGACGGCCCAAGAGGCCCCAAAGATGCCCTCAAGAGGGCCCCAGCACGGCCCAAGAGGCCTCCAAGACGCCATCGATGGCCTCCAAGACAGCTAAGATGGCCCCAAGATGTCCCCAAGATGCACCCAAGACGACCTGAGATGGCCTCCAGATGGCCTAAGACGGCCCAAGAGGCCCCCAAGAGGCCTCCAAGACGGCCCAAGACGCCTCCAAGAGGTCCCCCAGGAGGGCCCGAAGAGGACAAAATCATTGGTTGTCCTAAGGTTCTTGAAAGATTGTGGCATTTGCTTCTTCTCGGCATTCCGACGGCTAAAGACGGCGCAAGAGGCCCCCAAGATCGCCCAGGAGGCCTCCGAGATGGCCCCATGACGGCCCAACAGGCCCCCACGACGGCCCCAAGAGGACCCAAGAGGCCTCCAAGACGGCTAAAACGGCCTCCAAGACGGCTAAGAAGGCCCCAAGGCGCCTCCAAGACGGCCCAAGATGCACCCAAGAATGCCTAAGATGGCCTCAAGATGGCCCAAGACGGCCCAAGAGGCCCCCAAGAAGCCTCCAAGACGGCCCAAGAGGCGTCCAAGAGGTCCTCCAAGAGGGTCCGAAGAGGCCAAATACACTGGTTGTCCTAAGGTTCTTGAACGATTTTGGCATTTGCTTCTTCTCGGCATTCCGACGGCTAAAGACGGCGCAAGAGGCCCCCAAGATCGCCCACGAGGCCTCCAAGATGGCCCCATGACGGCCCAACAGGCCCCTACGACGGCCCCAAGAGAGTCCCAAGACGGCCCTAGAGGCCCCCTGATATGCCCCAAGAGGGCCTGAAGACGACCCAGACAGGCCCCCAAGACGGCTTCCGACGGCGTCAGACAAGTCAGGAACGCCCGAAGACGGCCAGAGAGGCAACCAAGAAGCCCCCAAAGGCCCCCCCAACACCCCTCCAAGAGGTCCCCAGGAAGCTCCCAGGAGGCACCAAGAGTGCCCTTAGAGGCGCCCAAGAGGCCTCCTCCTCCTCTTTTTTCCTCATCCTCCCCCTCCTCCTCTTCTTGCTCCCCCACGCGTTCCCCGAAGTCTGTCCAAACTGACTCGGGGAACAACTGGCCCGATAGCTTGGCACAGCTCTGGCACAGCTGACGGCCATAGAGGCGCTTTCAAAGGGGCAAGGGGCGGCGGTGATTCGCCGTAGGCGTCTTCGATCCAGATATCGGTATAAACAATCGCCGACATCGACGCTCGGAGGAATGGCTGATGGTGGGAAGAAATAAGGATAACTATGCATATAGAATGAGAGAGAGAGAGAGAGAAATGAGAACGGGAAGGACGGGTGACCATCCGTGGCCGGGCCTGGCAACGACCACAGGCACAAGTCACGCGAGGGCCGCGAATCACTGCACAGCATCGCGATTCTTCTCTGCTCGCCCAAATCATATGATGCGCACCCCCCGCAATAGAAAGACAGGCTCTCCTGCAGCTCTTTCAACCGCATCTCTGCCTGATGGTCAGTACGCATGCGTCGAGCAATTGACAACGCAATTACAGCACCACTGCATTACACTATGGAGTTCCTCGTCCCTCTCCTGCTCCCCCCCTCGCCCTCGTTCCGCCGATGAGGGTCAGCAGGACGGAGATGAGCAGCAAGAGGAGCGTCAGTATGAAAACGGGAACGATCGCCAAGAGGAGCAAAATCATCGGGAGAGGAGCAACGAGGAAAGACGAAGGGCACACGAGGAGCAGCGGCAACTATGCTGCTGCTCCTCCTCCTGAGACTGGTGATATACCGTCCTCATCACCCCTCCCCGTTGCCTGCTGCCGCACCTCGCTCTGCTCCTCATCATCCTTCTCCTGCTGATGCCTCCGAGGATCCGTAATGTGCGGGTGCTGCTGGTTATCCATCTACAGTCGACCCGCATCATAAGGATGCACGATACGGATTCAGGGGCTTCGAAGGCCGTTTCGGAGCGTTTCCAGCGGGGCGCGGCCAACGAAAGCGGTCAAGGATTGGCCGAGGACGCAAGGATACAAAGGTACCCTTGGGAATGATGCCCATCCTTATCATACAGGTTGACTGTGCAACCGATGCTTATCCTCCTTCTTCCCTTCTTCCCCATACCAATCCTACTGCTACTGCTTGCTGTCATCATCGTCAATATGTTTTTGCTTAACACGAGAACTTGGGCATAACTGCTGCAGCTCCCCCTGCTGCTGAAGGAGCTGCAGCAAACATAGGATGATGTGGAGACATGGGTGGGATGGACCAGGAGCAAGAGAAGGCATATGGCATGGAGCAATATGAACATGATGGGAGGGGCGCAGTAGACTAAAACACGGTCGATGATGAGAAAGATATATCTGCATGGTGCTAATCCGCCACCGGGCATTGTGCCCAGTGGGCGTGTTAGAATGCTTGCTGTCGTCTGGGAGGTTTCTTGAGTCTTCTTGGGCCGACCCACCCCGCATCACGCGCACCTGCCGAAAATCGCTCCCCCTTGAATTAGCCCTCCGGCGCTCATGTCAGCCTCAAGACGAGCAAGATGGTCTCCAAGACGGCTTCCAAGGCAGTCAAGATGACACCAAGATGGCTCAAGAGGCTCCAAAGACGGCCTCGAGGCAGCTCAGTAGGCTTCCAAGACGGCTCCAAGAGACCCCCCAAGAGAGCCCGAGGAAGCAACAACTTTTGATGTCCCGTCGGTGTTTGAAGAATTTTGAGGTTCTCGCCAGTTCAGGCTTCCGACAGCCCAAGACGGCCCAAGATGCCTCCAAGATAGCTCCAAGACAGCCCATGAGGACCCAAGAGGGCTCCGAGTCGGCCCAAGAGGATCCCAAGTCCGGCCAAGAGCCTCCCAGAAGGGTCCCAAGACGGGGCCCCAAGACGAATCAAGACACCACCAAGACGGCCTGGGGAGGCCCCCAAGAAAACCTCCGAAGGCATCAGACAGGCTGAGAGGCTCTATAAGACGGCCGAAGAGGTCCAAAGAGGCGCCAGAGATGCCCGAGAAGGCCCCCAAGAGGCCGCCAAGAGGCACCCAGGAGGTCCCCAGGAAGCCCCAACAAGAGGGGATCAAGAGGCCTCCTCCTCCTCCTCCTCCTCCTCCTCCTCTTCCATACCGCGCGGGCGAACGCGAGGTCGAGAGCACGACCAACTCAATTCAAATTCAAATCACTCGTTGAACTGCCGCGGAGCGTGAGTTCAAACTCCACCATACCGCGCGGACCAGGTCGAGGTCGAGATTACGACCCTCGTCAGTTCAGACAACCCACTGAACTGCAGCGGGGCATGAACTCGACCTCCTTCAGATCACGTGGACAACAACGAGGTCGAGTTCACGACCCGTTCCAGTTCAGACCAGCTGGGCGAAGACGAGGTCGAGTTCATGACCCGTCCAAGTTCTGACGGATCGCTGAACTGCAGCGGTGCGTGAACTCGACCTCATTCTTACCGCGCGGTTGAAGCCGAGGTTGAACTCACGACCCGTTTCTGTTCAAACCACCCGTCGGAATTGAGCTGCTCCTACACTCAGTCATTTCTCTGCTGAGTTGTTCCACAGGCACGGTGGCGGGGTTTGCCGCAAGCAGCTGGACAATCAGCGGCAGAAGCAAGCGGAGAAGGATGACGAGAGGCACGGGAAGGAGACTGAGCAGGAGGAGCTGCAACAACACAACAAGACCGAAGAACACACTGATAAGGAGGACAATGTTGGTATACAAGGTACCTTTACGTTCAGGCCTCATTCACGCAATCCCTCTGCGGGACAAATTCATGCAGAATGCGCTGACGTCACATCATTCCCATGAGGAGCTTGAATGACTTGTACAATCGCTGGCTTGTGTGAATGGCATTGCAGATCCCATCGCCCATTTCGGGCGCGAGTGGTTTAGAGGGTTTCCTCTTTCAACCCCCTTCTCCCCTTTCGGACATGGGGCGATCACTATTCTTACTTGGTAAACACCTTCTCCCCCAGGCAACGGGCAGCCAACCCGCATCCGTGGGGGCAGCCATGAGGGTCCCCCCCCACCATCTTTGTTAATAAAACAGTACAATACAAAATACACCTTGGGAAATAATCTTGGACCATGCTCGTGGGCCCCGCGGGCACTTTGTGACGGCGGGTGTGCCAGCACACTGCCCGCTGTGTGCAGGGCCACCATCCCTGTCAAATTACACCGTCGTCGTCCCTGTGAGTGCAGAGGCTCTCTTCCCATCTCCTCATCGCTCGTCTCCTTCTCGCCCTGGCGGAGGCCCTCTTCCCGCCCCCTCCTGCGCCCGCGGAGATCACTGCTTGCCGCCCGGTCTTAAGCCCAGTTTGGCCTCCGCGGATTAGGGCCCCCCCCATTCGTTGATCGATCCCCTCAAAGATGGTGCCAAGATCTGCCCCAAGAGGAGGGCCCCACGAGGCGCCCAGTAGGCCCCAAGAGGCCCTAAGAGGCACCCGAGACGCCACCAAGAGGCTCCCAAGAGACCCCCAAGAGGCTCCCCCGAGGCACCCAAGACTCTCCAGAAGGCCTACGGGACCACCAGGATCCCCCAAAGACGCTACAAGAAGACTCCAAGAAGCCCCCAAGAGACATCCGCAGAGACTCCGAGAGACATCCAAGAGGCCTCTAGCCGTTCTGCTCGCCCACCTCCTCCTCCGCCTCCGCCTCCGCCTCCGCCTCCGCCTCCTCCTCCTCCTCCTCCTCCTCCTCCTCCTCCTCCTCCTCCTCCATCCTGCATCTATTGGGGTATGACGGCTTCCCCGGCCATCTATTTCACTACATGCTCCTCCACGCCTGGGCATCGTTTCTGGATGTGCTGATGGGGTTACGTGTATATGTTTATTATATCGGCAAGGGTTGACACATAGATCCCCCAACGTTGTGAAGTATGTTTGAATAGAAGCTTCATGTGAGCGATTTTCAAATTGACCCCTTCTCCAGGAGATGATTCTCATAGATCAACCAGGCTGGGGGGATTTACAACAATATTCCCTCCGCGGGAAGATGGTTCACACATATATGGGGTCAATACGCTGGAGGTGTACCCATACTCAACGCACGATGTTTTGCAACACGTTCGGTTCAGGCTGAGTTATAACACGTCATTCCCAATCGTCCTCGTTCTGAATCAGCAGCGCCCCACGTCCTCTCCCGGTCCTCGCGGTCCTCCTCCCCCTCCTCCCTCCTGCCTCTGCCTTGGTACACCCCTGCCACGCTTTTCAAGCCCCGTGGACGATCCACAAAAGGCCACAATGAAAAAGTTACGATGCAGTCGTGTGCTCATTTCGCTTGTCCCTGCCACGCTGCAAGCCCCATAGGAGCTCCACTGAAGGCCACCATGAAGAGGCCCGCACACGGTCGTGGGCTCATTTTGCTCACCGCTGCCATTTTTTCAAGTCCCATACGAGCTCCACATAAAGCAAACCTGACAAAGTCCGCGCATGCAGTCGTGGGCTCATTTCGCTCGCCCCTGCTATTCCTTTTTCAGCCCCAGAGGAGCTCCGCAGAAGACCAAAATGAACAAGTCCGCATGCAGTCGTGTGCTCATTGCGCTCGCGCCTGCCACGCTTTGCGCGCCCCAAGAGAGCTCCACAGAAGGCCGACATGAAAAAGTCCGCATAGAGTCGTGGGCTCATTTCGCTTGCCCCTGCCACGTTGTTCACGCCCCAAACTGAAACAAATCCGCATGCAGTCGTGGGCTCAGTTCGCTTGCCCTTGCCACGCTTTTGAAGCCCCATAGGAACTCCACAGAAGGCCAAACTGAAGCAGATGACATGCAGTCGTGGGCTGAGTTCATCATTTGGCTCGCCCTGACCGCGCTGATTCCGCTAGACCCTCACACGTTTCTCAGGCCCCACAGGGAGCTCCACTGAAGGTCCAAATGGCAAAGCTGCAAAGCTCGTATGCCTGACCACGCCCATTCGATCGCCCATGTGGTTCGTGGCCCCATACGGAGCTCCCCCTCCTTCGGCCGATCTGTCTTTCGATAATCACAACTGCAAATGGTTGCGTCCTACGACAGGTTAATTTAGTTTCCCTCTTCACCACCACCACGCACCATCACCGCAGCCATCCCCACTGCAACCTGCACATCAAGGAACCATTCTGAGGAGATTTTGACGGCCGCCGCTGCTGTATCCATCGCCGCAGCGGCCGCCGCTGCTGTATCTATCGCCACGTTTTCAAGACTACAGGGCCGTTGTTGCTGAATATTTCCACATCGGTATATGTATATTCATATATACATCTGTGTATCGCTCCAGCGGCCGTATGATGTCACGACCATAAACTTCCGCAAGGATACACCCAGAGCATCAGGATTGTGCGCGCACAGTCTGGAGGCCACGTCCTCATACTCATCATCCAAATCCTCGCACCCTTATCCTTGCCATCATTTTGCTCTTCTCGTCCTCATCCCGCAATCTCCTCCTCCTCCTCCTCTTCCTCCTCCTCCTCCCTCCAAGGATGTTCCGACTATGCTGCCTCCGCCTCCCATCTCCCGCTCCCTCGGCATCGGCTGCCTCGAAATGCTGCGCGTACAGCCTGGTGCACACGTCGTCGGCCTTCTCATCGCGCCGCTGGACTCCGTGCTGGATGCGCCGGCGCGCGACTTCAGCCTGAATTCAAACATGTGTTCTCGGAAGCAGAGCAGCAGGAGGAGCAGGAGCACGTAGGAACAGGATCCGGAGGAAGCGGAGGAGGGGGGGGACCAGCGTAGACGTTGTGATCGCCCTATAGCCCCAGTGCGAAACGAGAGCGAACCCTGGGGTGCCTAGCGTAACCCGGCGCATGAAATGTAACATGCCATTCGACCGCTTGAGGAGGGGCCCCCTGGAAGCAACAGCTGGAGGATGGCCGGCTGGAGGAGGAGGAGTAGGATATCCCTCGAGAAACAGCAGCTTGAGGATGGCAGGCTGGAGGAGGAGGAGGAGGAGGAGGAGGAGGAGGAGAAGGAGGAGATCCCTCGAGAAGCAGCACATGGAGGGTGGCAGGCTGGAGGAGGAGGAAGAGGAGCCCCCCCCCGAAGGGCAGGGGCGCCCCACACCTCGAGTCTCTGCCGCTCCATCTCTTCCTCGTACTTCCGGCGCCTGCACGGGGGGAGACAGGGGAGGCGGGCCAAGACAACGCCACGTGTTAGAAGCAAGAGCGAGGAGAAGGAGAAGGGGGAGGAGGGAGGGGGAGGGAGGGAGGGAGGGAGGGGGGAGGAGGGAGGGGGCAGGAGGGGGAGGAGGGGACGGGGAGGGGGGGGGAGGGGAGGGGGAGGGGAGGAGGAGGAGGAGGAGGAGGAGGAGAGGAGGAGGAGGGAGGAGGGAGGAGGAGGAGGAGGAGGAGGAGGAGGAGGAGGAGGAGGAGGAGGAGGAGGAGTAGGAGGGGGGAGGAGGAGGAGGAGGAGAGGAGGAGGTAGGAGGAGGAGGAGGAGGAGGAGGAGGAGGAGGAGGAGGAGAACTCCCTGGTGGTGTGGTCACCCCCTCTCGCCCGAGACATCCCCAGTCTCCAGCTCGGGGAGACATCGTGGACCTCCTTGCTGGAGGTGGCCCCCCTGGTGGTGTTGGTCTCTCATCTCCCCCCTCCGACGTGTGGACTGCAGTCACCGTGCTACTCGGAGGAACGCCGAATAAAGAACGAATGGTTCGACTTCACGCGAGAGTGACCCTGGGTAAGAGTGACCTTTGGTGCGCGGCTTTTTGGGGGCCGCGGGGGGGGGGGGGGCAAACACAAGCGCGTAAGACGCTACTACCGCATCGCGTTCGGCGATCGGGGGACCCCATCGGGCCCGCACCAACGGTCACCCTCGCGAAAGGTCGCTCGTATGTCTAGTCGAAGGGTTCTTGGAGGCGCGGCAACCATTCGGCCACGAGCAGGCTCCCCGACCCGGATCTGGAGAGCGGCCGAAGAAAGGAGCCCCGCCTGAGCCCGAGCCGGTCCGTACTTCAGCGCCTCGGCGGTGAATGAAGATCGCCGGCCAAGACAGCGCCGTCTGTGGACTGGAACGGCCAAAGGGGTCAAAACCTCGAGTCAAACGCACTGTGGCTCCCGTTCCCGCAGGATACGAGGCGCAATAGCTGGCATCGAAAAAGATGCGAGATAAGGATTGCGTCCGAGAGTCGGAACGAAGTCCAAGATCATATGAGATATCCGACGGTCTTACGTTTGTGGGGATCACCTCAGTCGTTGCAACTCGAATCACATTCAGACGACGCGTGCGACTACGAAACATGCAACACATGCACTGGTCAGACTACGGTCAGACTCTGACTCTGAGCTCCTGCTGCCTAATCTCGCTGTGGACTGATGAAGCGAGTCGGGTAAAACCAGAAAGGCGTGCGGACGGATAGAGGGGCTCAGAGGGCGACGGAAGGAACGGTGCTCATAACGTGAGCGGGTGTATCAAGAGATAAGGGAAGATGCACCAGCATGTTCAAAGAGGACGGTGTAGAATGTCAAGACCGAACGCCATGACGAACACGCACACACAAAAAAACGAATCAAAGAAACGGCATGCACCCGCCTTTCCATGTCGAGCTTCTTTCGCGCATGCAGCGCGTACAGTTCGTCGAAGCGGTGGCCCTGGTGCGCGAAACTGCGCGGATGATGTGCGACCCCAGCCAACACAGTAAGACATCATAACATCGTGTAGTCGCCGACCGAGAAATCTAATCGCTACTGCACGCGAGTTTCAACACACGGCTTAGCGTGACCATACTGCCTTATCGCTTGCGAATACCAGGGCTAGACGCAACGTTCCATACTAGCATCCCCCATCCCGAGATTCGGCGGGGAGCCCGATGGGGGGAAGCGAGAAGGGGCGGGCCTCCTCGGAAGGCTCGGAAGCCCCCCCGGCATTCTGAGGAGTTTCGAAGCCCTCCCCGACGACACAGAAAACCTCTCAGAAGGCGCGAGGGTCTCTGAGAAGCCCCGCCGCCCTCCGAGAGGGCCTTCTCCTTCTCGCGTCTCCCCCTCGCTCGCCGCCGAATGGCGGCCCGCAGGGGTCGTACTTACCTCGGTTCGTTTACCGACGGCTCCGCCCAGGCACGCCCCGCGCGAGGTCGAGGGCGCTGAGGAGGAGAACGCGGGAGAGGAGGAGAACGAGGAGGGAGGGAGGGGAAGGAGGAGGGGGAGGAGGAGGAGGAGGAGGAGGAGGAGGAGGAGGAGGAGGAGCGGGAGGAGGAGGAGGAGGAGGAGGAGGAGGAGGAGGAGGGAGGAAGAGAAGGCGGAGGAGGAGGTAGCCGCCGAGAAACGCTCTTCTCGTCGCTCGCCTCCCTCCCCCCGCCTCGCCGTCCGCACCCCTTCCCCTCCCCAGCACGCTGCACCCCCACTCCATCCTCCTCTCCTCACCAGTCTGGAACTTGTCCCTAACCCTGAGAAAGGCAAGCCAAAAGCGCGCACGGTCTTAGGGATGTGCCCTCAGAAACTGAGGGATCCCCTAAGATCGGCATCGAGGCAAGGTTATGCCAAACACAAGGGTAGGGATTACGTTTCAGGCTGGTAGCATCCTCCCTCCTCATCACCATCCCAGCTCCTCCCTCTTCTCTGTTCTCCCAGGTGCCACCTTCCCTCCCCCCCTGTCCTCTCCCATCCTGTCCTCGCCTCTTGCTTCCCCGCACCTCCCTTCCACCCCAATCCAATGTTATGGCCTCCCGCTGCGAAGCCATGGGACGCTCCGACAAAAGCAGTGGCCCTGGGACACGCGAGCCGCAACAAAACGTGTTGATGCGAGAGGCCTTTGCCGCAATGACGCGCACTGGGGCCAGCGTCAGCTTTATTGCGGGTCGTTCTGCACACGGCTGGATGGATAAGGAGGTTCAAGCAGAAGGGATGCGTACATCATACATACAGTGAGGGCCCTAGACTACACTTGCAAAGAAATCAGCCTTTCTGCTGTGGCCCCTTCGTGCGGATGTGTTCCACCCATCCCGTCGTGTCGTGTCCTCGTCCCCTCTCCACTGCGCCGCCCCTGCCTGCTTGTTTCCGCCTCCAGCGTCTTGCGCCTCCCGCGTCATATACATGCTCCCCGTGCTGCTGGCACGTCACTGCTGCTTCATAGGTCGGCCCTTGCCTACGTCGGCCGCAACAGCACCCGACATGAACAATGGCACCTCTCGCACACGCCGTGCCCTAGAGAGAACCCCATCTACGACGCCACGGGGACGATCGCATTCGCGTTCGACCTGCATTGTGGCACGTCCCTGCCACACCTCGCCCTCTGGCAGTGAGCACGGTCGCGAACGCATTCGACGTCCGCTTTGGGGAAACCCCTCGAGCAAGTCGTGCCCAACAGGATACCCCATCTGCAGCGCCAGCGCGAACGTTCGTGCGGGTGCCCGACGCCCATCTTGGCACGCGCCTGGCACACATCGTGCCCCAGAGGCAGGCCCAACTGCGGCGACAACAGTCGCGATCGCATTTCCCCTTGACGTTAGTGTTGGCCCTCAACCATATCCCACAATAGCCAACTACGGCGGCAACATATGACGGTCACATACAAACATGATCTTCGTCCGTTAAGGCGGATTTCTCTCAAACGTCATGTCCAACAACGATGCCAATGTGGGCCACGGCGACAGCGGAAGAGACCGCACATGACCGACACATCTGCTTGAACCTACGTCGCTCATTCGTGCCGCGCCCCACAAAGTATAGTGGGCTCCACCTTTTGATTAGACACGCCGCTGACGCATCAATGTCGCACATCTGTCACACGCTTCGAGTCTCACAAGGAAACCCAACCACGAAGCTAATGGGGGATATATCGAACACGGACAACACATTTGCACGTTTTGGGAAGGGGGGGGGCGGGCGTGCGAGACTGCCACGTTCTAGTCTGGTGGAGCCCATACCAAACGCTGAGCAACTGGACGAGGTCGCGAGGCTGCTCTCTTGGAGAGGCGCTCTACGAGCTGCTCAGATGCTCCGTCGGGATGATCTGCACGACACGCCGACGTCCAGATTCCCTGTGCCAGCTGTGGTGATCCTGGCTGGCCTCTCGACGAGGCAGGGCCACAGCGAACGCACAGCCTGGCAGCACGGGGATAACCAACGGTCTGTGGTGCTATCCTAAATGGTCATCATGGTCCTTGTCTCTGGCAATTTTTCTCACCCTGCCTTGCTGATCTTAATCTTTGTGTTAAGTGACTGTTTTGACTCATAGAACTAAGAAGCTCAGCTTGCCCTCGGCGATTTGCATTCGCCAGGCGTGCGCGCCACGCGCGGCCAAACCTGCCACCGTGCCCCCTGGCATGCTGAGGCGTGGCAGAATGCCGAGTGCTGCGTGGTATAGGGGTCCTGTAAGATGCTGGGCTCCCCCCCTCTCCGAGCACTTCTTTGCGTGCGCCGCACCCTTCCCCCTGGGCGCTTCCGTAGCTCACTGGCGCTCTCAGTTTCCCAAGATGCCCAGCGTGGTTCTCCAAGGCGGCCCCTCCAACACGGCCCACGCCAGCGGCCCCAATACGGCCCAAGAGGGCCACGAGACGGCCCACGAGGCTCCAAAAACGCCAGGGCGGCCCCATGAATGATTCGGAGTAACCCATGGGAAAGCCTGACCAAACAAATCTTCGCCGACCCCTCGGGGTCTCTAGGCGTGTGAGATCCTTCCCCCCTCCCCATAACCCCCCCCCGTGGGCCCCCAAACCGGCAATTCGACCCCCCCCGGCCCAGGACGGTCCACCCCCGAACTCACCAGGGGGGATCCGGCCCTACCCAGGCTCGCTCTGGAGCTCCAAGACAGCACTCTTATCGCTAGAGCACTCAAAGCGCTAGACACATCCGACAAACAAATCAGAGCATACGACAGTCCAAACTAAACAGACACCTAAGGACTCACCAACTTGTGAAATACGTCCCCCGCTCCTCCCATACCAGGCCCTGGGAGCCGCCACAGAAACCAAGTGAACTCCCCAAAGGGCCCCAGGAAGGCCCCATGTATGTATCCACTGTGGCCGTGTACGTTTTCCCAGCACCTACGGATGCTCAGGATAGGCGCCCCCAGGACCAATCCAAGACAGCCCAAGACTACGGTCCACGAGAGTCCCAAACCTGACAGTACCGAACAGAAAAAACGCGGCGGCGCAAGGAAGAACTCCAAGAAACCAACATAGCCTGATAAAACCTTCCGCTGACCCCCCAAAAACCAAGAAGACCCAAGAAACACACCAAAGGCTCCACGGACATACCAACAAAAACCATGGGAAACAAACTTCAATCAAGGGGTCGGCAAGTGTGGCGTAAGCCTGTATAATCATTGAGTCCCGCTTGGCCCTCCATGAGCTCATGTTCGCGTCAGCCCAAGACGGCCACGGAGGCCTTCACTCTGGCCCCCAGATGGCCAAAAAGGCCCACAGAGGGCCCACGAGTGGGCCCCGGGCGCCCTCAAGCTGGGACGGCCCGATGGACCCCACGACGACCCTTCAGTGCCCCACGAGGGCCCGAAGACGGCCCAGAGAAGCTCACAGGACGGACTACAAAGGCGCCAGACTGCCCACGAGCGCCCCAAGACGGCCCAAGGAGCCCCCAGGAGGCAAATGCCCCCGATACGCCCCCAGGATACCCCTAAGAGGCCCCAAAGGAGGAGAGACTCCGACCAGCCCTTTGGGCGTAAGTGGTTTGTCGAGTTAGTCATTCCAACATCACCATTCCCGCGGGGGAGAGGTGCACCTCTCCCCCAACCCCCCCCACACTCTCCCTGGGCATGGGGGTGCGTTGCGCAAGCGGTCAGAGCGTGCTGCATGGCCAAAGATGTCCCCAAGTGGGTCACAAATAGCCCAATGATGCCTCGAATATCACACAGTACAGTCCTAGACAACTCGATATAGCTTCCAACGGGTATTCAAAAGGCGCCACGACAGTCCCCAGACGGCTCTAAGCGGCCACGGGTCATCCCACGCTCCCCTCCCCCACATCCGAGAGGCCCAAAGCATTTCGAAGCCGCAAGACAATCAAGCTGGTTGCAATATCGCCTTTTCGCTGACGGTAGGCCCTTGAGGCTTCCAGGTGGCTCCAATATGGCCCGAGGAAGCCCCAGAAAAGGCCCAAGGTGGGGCCAAAACGGCCCAAAGAGCGCACAAGAGCGCCCCAATTGCCTTTTTGTTCCAGCCTCAGAAGACGGGGTGGGGGAGCCGAATTAAGCCCCGCCACTTCTTTGATCGATGGCCCCCAAAGTTGCCCCACGAGGATCCTCAAGGAGTCTAAGAGGGCCCCCAAAGAGCCCGAGAAGACCCCAAGAAGGCCCAACGAGGGCCCCAAGAGATCCGCCGTACAGGCATACAAAAGGCCCCACCCAAAGGACCCCAACATGGCCCCACTGTGGCCTCAAGATGCCTCGACAAGGCTCCTGGAGCGTCACTGCATGCTGCTACATATCCATGATCGGGGCAACTCTCCTGGTGAATGAGTTTGTATGGGTTTTGTGTGAGCGCGCGCCAAGAGTAAGAGGAAGGCAGGAAGACGCGACGAACACGAGAAAATACCCCGACACGGATCGGAAGAACGTGTGACATGTTACGGCCTCGCCTCGAGTCACGATGCTTCATATGCTACGGCTTCCTGTACGTTCTTCGAACCGTTGCACGGAA